TGCACAGGGGCCTGCTCTGTTTAATCTGAAGGCCCCGAGCAAGTTTAATTTACCTGGCAACGCAAGCTAGCTGAAATATGATTGGTTAAAAAGTCTACCATAATAAATAAGTTATTTATCGAGTGGCTTTCAATGTTATTTAAAATAACATTGAAAGCCACTCAACTCAGTGGAAATAATATGATGTAAAGAATACAGAGAATAATTTTGTTTACATATTTAGGAAAATAAAATAACAAATTATAAAATAACATAAAATACATAAAAGTAAATTTACTTTTCTGAGAATGTTTAGGCCAGCAGAGGAGGCCTTGCTGGCCCTCAGGGTCCGCCACTGATTCTATTAATTATTCGGGATATTTTTCCTTATTGTGCTAACATGTATAACTGTTATAATCAGTCAATGTGTACTGATTATTGGGGACCTGTGTTATGGTTTACCTGCATCATCAAATACAAATAAATCTTGAAATGAGAATGTTATCCTACTGTCCATGTTTATTTAGAGCTAATCACACCCGATTTCGGTATTTCCAAGTAAATGTGTTGTTTTGAGCAATTTTCATAGCAGGCCGTTTTAAATGTGAAACGAAGGTTGTCTGTGATTCAGATGAGAATTCAGCAAGTTTTACAAGGGTGAACGCTAGGTGAGCACCCCCTCCCTTCCCCCACCACCACTCTACCCCAAATTGACAAAACACGACCGTCAGTGGCAGTCACCAAGTGGCGACAAAGGCTAACGCCATTCCACCACGCGAAAACTACACCGAGCAATCGAAAGACACGCTGGCATTTATCATTGTTATCGATAAACAGACAAGAAGACGTAGTGCACTGTGAAATCCACTCACCCTCCAGTCGCCCCCCTTCGTCGCTCGGCTTTGGCTTCCGTGGGGAAAGCAAAACAGCATACGACGGGAAGCTAACTGCTCAGCCTTAGCCGCAAAAGATGACATTGACATCGAACCAAAAGCGGTAAATGAGAGGCAACGCGAAAGCCGAGCACACACATTGCAACACCGCCATGGATCGTCGAAGGTTTCCCCTCCTCGACGGTTATCGTTAAAAACGTATAAAGGAAAGCGGAGGTCTCGCCGACGGTTTCCAGACAAAGCTAGCGTGGCTAACGAGCTAGCATCAGGCAAGCCTCAGCAGTCTCAGCAGCCTCAGCTGTGCGAGGGGGGTCACGTGACGCGACGCTGCCTTTGAGGTCGTCTTTTAACGTGGGATATTTTAACGTCTTTCGCTAACCCCGGTAGCCCCCAAGGCCGTGTTTGCGGTTGCTTTTTCCGCTTTTTTAAAAATCAGTATTACGCATTTGTCATCCCTATGAGAGAAAGTGGAACAAGGGGGATGTCATCGAGCACGTCTTAATGATATAGTCTTTATTCTGATGATGTAAGATAAGATGATGAAAATGCCAGGCACACTCTTTTTTTAGGGGGGGAACTTTTTTGTCAACTTGTCATGACGTTTGATTAAAGACAAGTTGCAGGGGTACTTACTTTTTTTCACAAGCTCACGGGTCATACAATTGAAGGTTGCCATTGCAATTGATTTTCATATAACGTGTTTTCTTAACAAACAACAACATTAATTTGAAATCAGGAGTGTCAAATCTTAGTTTACAGGTATTGTCCGGTTCATGTTCAGAAAGAACTCGATGAAAATAAATGTTTGTAAAGCCGAAGAAAAACGATCATTTCGGTACAGATTTTCTTAAACTTGATGAAAATAAATGTTTGTAAAGCCGAAGAAAAACGATCATTTCGGTACAGATTTTCTTCCAAAATCACGAGACGAAACCTACGGAGCCCCTAAGGCAGCGGTCCCCAAACTTTTTCCTGTGAGGGCCGCATAAGCTTTCGCTTCTGTGATGGGGGGGCCGGGGTCAGTCTGGAACAGAAAAAGGGTGACCGCAAGAGTACGGAAATGTAAAAATGGATTGTTTTCCAGAAACCCACACAAAATGAAGCCGCCTCTTGACAGATGAGACTGACAGACGTTTCTTTGCGCTGAAAGAAACAAAAACAAAAACATCGTTTGTCCACTTTGGGTTAAATACCCTGCATTCTATTTTTCTCTTACCGAACCATTTCGCCATGATCCCGTTCTCTGAGAGAGGCGCCGGTTTCGGATTTTTTTTTTCTGGCGTTGCCAGATAATGGCACAGAAAGATGCACCAAATGTCACCTTATTGTATCTGTGTTTATGAAATAGTTACTAATTAATAGTTAATAATGAAAACGGTTCAGAACTAAGGAACATTTTATTGCAAAAGCCCAACTTTATGATCAAAGACAAATCCACATCGATGAAAAATAAATCAAAATACTCTGTGGTATTGTCAGGGGGCCGGACCAAATGCGGAGGCGGGCCGGATCCGGCCCGCGGGCCGTAGTTTGGGGAC